TGATAATGATCAGAGTCTTATGTACTGCACTTTTGAAGTTGAATGCCTACATATTTCCCCATCTACTAATTAAGTGAACTAACTTAATTCTTGTGTATGTGCCTGCGCCTCTTTTCTTTTCTTAACTTTAAATGTCATCCAACAGATGTTCCTTTTATTAACATTATAAGCCCAGTATTATATTTTGTGTCATCATTAAAAGGCCACACATTTCAGTACCTGCATAAACTTACTAAACAACTAAATAGCTTTTCTGAAAATTATTATGTGTATTTATTTTCTTTCAGTCTTCCTACCCCACGCGAATGAACCGCTGTAATCAGATTCTGAAAAAGGCCATCAGTCTCAAACAATCTCTGGAGAAATTCATCGGAGACGCCAACAGACTGACAGACAAGTTGTTGGAGCTCTGCAACAAGCCGGTACACACATACAAACACTGACACAGAACATATATTGCATGAAATTAAAATAAAATCACAACTACAAACTCTTTATACACTCTTTATCTTAATTTTTTTGAACTCAAGATGAAAATCTGTAAAAATGTTTTTTGGTTTTGCATTGTCCATACTCAATTTTAAAGTGACAACATAGGATTGGATCAAATAAAAAACAGTATATAAAGGTATCACCAGATGTTTGTGAACGTGTCCTTCAGGTGGATGGCAACAGCACCGCCCTCAGCATGAGCGTTCACTTCAAGCAGCTGAAACGTCTGGTGGAGGAGCCCACCTTCAGCCAGATTCTGATCCCCCTGCAGTCAGTGCTCATCCCCACACTGCCCTCGACAGGTGGGACAAACACACAGCACGACGCCTTCCCCGGACACTGGGCCTACCTGGATGGCTTCGAAGATGCTGTAAGAGAGAGAGGGCATGAGGCTGTTGATTATTCTCACAATGTTACAGACATTTTTCAGTAAATTTGACTTTTATAATCACAAAATCATCTGTACATGGTATGTGCCTTATAACCATGGTCTGTGGACTGTATGTGCAGGTGGAGATCTTGGCCTCCCTACAAAAGCCTAAGAAGATCAGTCTGAAGGGTTCAGACGGGCGGAGCTACACCATGATGTGTAAACCTAAAGACGACCTCAGGAAGGACTGCAGACTCATGGAGTTCAACTGCCTCATCAATAAGGTGTGTGTGATGTTTGACTCTTAAGTGATATAATGTACACAGAGTTAACAATTTATTTATAACTTATATCTTTACAATCTTTTCACTTATACAGGATTGCATTACTGGTATACAGTCCAGTACAACACCATCGGGGTTTATATTTCATAGTTACCTTTTTAAACAAAATTAAGTAAACAACAACAAAAAACTCTATATTTATAGTATTTGTGTTAAACAGAGATACATCTTTTTCATTGTTTATTCAATTATATTTATTAATATATCAATGTATGCATAAGTACATACAGACATATATTTACATTCATACAAATTCATATTTAAACAGAATGCACATTGTGCCTGTACAATAGCAAAAAGAAATATACACACAAATACAATAAATTAATCACATCTTCTGACAATTAAAAGAGAATGAAAGCTTCCCTGCTGATTTCTACATAATCATTCTAATTTTCCATCAATAAACTTCCCCTTTCTTCTACAGAGGCCCTCAGTGTTTTAAATTTTACCAGTTTTATTTCTTGACAGATTCGACCTCCTGCGTTGTATTTTTCCAGCTAAATGGGATTTTTTTTCTTCTTTGCTTTGTAGAATTGAACGCTTCAACATTAATATAGAGATTAGATTTACTACAGTTCTATTGTATGGATGCCATCAGATTGTACCTAATAAACTCGTATCTGTGTTCAGTCTACAGGATTTGTGTTACTACGCTGTCAAGAGACAGGATTTATGTGTACATGGTTTCTGTGTGTGTGTTTGTGTATGTGTAGTGCCTACGTAAAGATGCTGAGTCAAGGCGGAGGGAGCTACATATCCGTACCTACGCTGTGATTCCCCTCAATGAGGAGTGTGGCATCATCGAATGGGTCAACAACACCGCTGGACTTCGACACATCCTCACCAAACTGTACAAGGAGAGAGGTATCTACTTGTCGGGGAAAGAGCTCAGGAAGCTTATTCTACCAAAGACGGCTCCCTTTGAGGAGAAGCTACGAATCCACAAGGAAGTGCTGTGTGCTCGACACCCCCCTGTATTCCACGAGTGGTTTCTCCGGACCTTCCCTGACCCCACATCATGGTACAACGCACCCCACAACTCAATTAAACTTAGAAGGGACGCTTTTTTACAAGCCATGTGAATAATGTTATTTCTGTATGTTCGCACTAATTAAATAATGAGTTATGGTTATGAGTTTAAAAATATTTTTGGATGGTTATAAATGTGAAAATCTCATGTAAGGCCACTCATTGTGTTTGTTTTGCAGGTACAGCAGTCGCTCTGCGTACTGCCGCTCCACCGCTGTGATGTCAATGGTGGGTTATATCCTGGGTTTGGGAGATCGCCATGGAGAAAATATCCTCTTTGACTCTTTCACAGGGGAATGCGTTCACGTCGACTTCAACTGCCTCTTTAACAAGGTTCGTCTTTGTCCCAAATTGTCTTAAAATATTTTGTAGTGATTTATATTATACATTTTTTTGAATAATTAATTAAAAAATAAAATAAATAGTTTTATATGTTGTTGTCATGTATTACTATTTCTGTTATTTCCTTTTTCACTGCGTTTCTCTCATGCTCCTTCTCTATATCTCCACTAGGGGGAGACATTTGATGTGCCTGAGGTTGTTCCCTTCCGCCTGACCCAAAACATGGTCCACGCTATGGGACCCATGGGCACCGAAGGTCTCTTCAGACAGGCCTGTGAGGTCACTCTGAGACTAATGAAGGATCAGAGAGAGCCGCTCATGAGGTACGCAAACATAAATGCTTTATCATTATCAAATAATCCTGTTTCATAATCTAAGTATACACATATAATGGGGTGCAAAAGTAAAAGACTCTTCTTGAAAAACACTAAGTAGAGTAAATTTTCTAAGCATCAATTAACAAACTAAATTTAAGTTTAAGACCATATTGAATTTATTGGATTTCTTATGTAATTGGCACTTGACTCGTAATACATGATTATACTGTGTATGTGTTTTTTCTGTCACAAATCTACACAGTAACTCTCAATTAGGTTTCTAAATTCAACATTTCTGTTTTTAATTTTCCCTAAGTGTGCTCAAGACCTTCCTTCATGACCCGCTGGTGGAGTGGAGCAAACAAGGCAAAGGATTTTCCAAAGCTCAGGCCAATGAGACAGGAGAGATAGTTAATGAAAAGGTGTGAGTCTAATGTATTCCAAAAATGTCACATTTTTCATATTGGTATTACTGTATTGTCTTACCTTTTTCTCTCCTTCTCTACCAGGCTAAAACACACGTGTGTGACATCGAGCAGCGTCTGCTGGGAGTGATAAAGAGCAGGAATAAAGTGCTGGGTCTACCTCTGTCTATAGAGGGACATGTCCACTACCTCATACAGGAAGCTACAGATGACAAACTGCTCTGTCAGATGTATCTGGGCTGGGGGCCCTACCTATGAAACGCACACCTACATTTACAAAACGAGAGGAAAGCACTTTGAAGGCAGTTCGGGAGAATTAAGGCTGCTTTCCTGTGATAAAATGCCTACACAAGACAACCTTACTTGCTATTATGTGGCTCACAGCAAGTATAATAGTATAAAGAAAATATCTGCACATGCATTTTGCAATAACAACAAAAGCCCTTTACAATGCCATTTGTTTGTTCTGCTCTTTCTGTTATTCTTGAAAGTTTCCTGTTTTCTGGAAACAAAGGATATGTGTTAAATTGCTGTACATTACCAGGTAATAAAGGATATGTTTTTTCTAATTTTATTTGAAAGGTAAATGTGTCTTTCAGAAGGGTTTTTTTCTAATCTCTTAACCCTCCTTAGATTCACTGTAGCAGTCTCACTGGCGGATGATTGCTTTAATCCCCTCTGTGTCTCTCTGTTTCTCTCCTGCACACACCCAGTAGTCCAATCAGCTCACCTTTTTCACACAAGCACCAATTAGAGCTAAGTGCTTCCTCATGAGAGGCGTAAGCGGCTGAAGACAACTCGGTGAGGATACCAGTATGAAGTAAGGGAAGTGGAAATTCTTCAAGTGAGCAATGTTTTTGATGTTCAGTTATGGGTTCAGACACTCAAACGGTCTCTGTTTTTTTGATAATTACTTTTCTCCTTTTTGTCAATGCTTGGCTGCTGTTGCAACTTGCTTTTGGATAGAAGCCATTCGTACTTGTTTCAAATTAAGAGGAGCATTCCAAACAAACACTTATTGGAAACTTGTCTTTTCTGATGATGTCAGTGGGTGACCCTCTTGTCTTTACACTCTGCAGCAAGATTATCTAGGAGCTTTTCTATGGGAAACAACTGACCTGTGAACTATACAATGCTCTGATTATTGATAAAATGTCTGCTTTATTGGCTGACAAAGTAGATGCAGTAAACTTTTGCCAGAACTGTTATTTGTATAAATTGTACTGAATGTGTAGTTGTACTTTGCAGCTAAATTGCGTTTTCTGCGTTTCTTTTTAAATAGTTCATTGGCTTGTGGATATTATGCTTTTATCTTGAAAAATCGCACCCGGAAGTTTAGGGCTATCATCAAGATAAGGACGTCTTCAATCGGATTTTTTTTTCACGGTTAGAGACAGCTTAAGACTATATTTATATTTATTTATATGTATCTATTAAACTGCTCATTAGCAGCAAAACATATCCCTATTTGAAAAATAAAAAAAAAGTTAGGCGTTACATCCAGCATTTGAGGCATCAAAGTAAAATTCTTAACGGTGATAACGGTTCACATAGACAGGTCATTCTTGTGCTCACCGCCCGTTGGTACTACACTGAAAGTCATCCGTTATGGCCAAACCGAGGCTGTAAACCATCAGTAAATACGGCCAGCTTGACAGAGGAAGCACTAAGCATGGCTGGAGAATAAACTGTCAATAGCTCGAGCAAGCAGGTGCTTGCACTTGTGACGGCTTTATGTCCCCGGCTGGTCGGTGTTAACGAACCATAATCTGGCTAACAAGCGAATGGCGGTTAGCGGTTGAGACCATGGCGAGGTATGTTGACTGTTGCTGCTCACTGGGCTTTTTATAGCTAGCTCAGTCCTGCTGGGCCGTTAACAGCTTGTTGGACCATCGGGGGCAGCGCGCGACCTTGGGGACGTTGTCATGGATTTGACGCGGTTGGCTGTGGATGCTGGTCAGTTCATCAACCGGGCTGTTCAGGTAAACGACACCGGCAGGAAAATAAATATAGCTACTGAACAGGGTAGAATTAGCTAACTATTCAATAAACTGTCTTGTGCTCGCGGTTTATTGTTATTAAACAGTCCTGAGATTTTTTTTATCACTCTTAATGATTGTGTTAGGACATTGAGTCCCTCTCATAGCATCAAAATACAATTAATACAATTACAATTCAAATAAATACTACCTCAACAAATAATCAATTAATTTTTTAAGTGGTTGAAGCTTTAATGTTATCCTTTTCATTCCGCTCCAGTACACGGAGGAGAGTATTGGCCAGGCGGACAAGACAGAGTTGGACCCTGGTCTGGAGCAGCTCCTGGCCCTGGCAGACGCCACCAAGACCTGCACGGACAAGATAATCTGCCAGACTGAGGTTTTACTGCAGCCTAACCCCGGTGAGAGAGACTGGCTTGTTTATTTATTCTTTGGTTGTCTTTAGGTCCTGGAAAGAGACTTGAATGCCAATTACAATACGGGATTGTAACAAGTCCTGTGAGCTCAATTTATCAAGGTCTCATTTAAACACAGACAAAAATTATTATTATTTGTATTTTTGATAATTAGTTAATGTAAAAACCTATCACATGAAGCTCAGCTTCCACAGTGACCTCTAATATTTTAGATTATTTACCTTTATTACATTGTGAAAAGGACTATTGTCTGGATGAACCTCTTTTATAAATAAAACTACCTAATATTTATCTGTCATACACTTCTCAGTGGAGAGAAGTCAATAACTAGTATTTATGTATAACTAAGTAAAGGTGTTTGTTTGTATGGCTATGATTTCAATGAGAATATATATCAACTACTTAAAAACAAAATATTTCATACATACGATACCTGTACACTTAGTATGTTGTACTGTGCATGCATGCCTGGACATTTGTCCCGACAAAGACATCTTCACCAAATCAGATTGTTACGGGCACTACCTTCAAGTGAGTACTAGCGATTATGGTTCTCTACATAAAACCACCGAATGATGACTACGAGTCTTTACCTCTGAGGCCCAATATTTCAGCTTTATTTGCTCTCAGACGATAAATACGTCTCCTGTGTGCTCTTCTGTTTGCATTGACTGCAATTGGCCTGTTCAGATGAATCGGCATGGTTATTCTTTTGCCTGTTTGAATCCAATTACCTCAGATAATGGAATTATGAGTGGATGTGGTCTGCAGTCTGTCAAATAACGAGACCATTCAGCTGCCAGAAATAATAATCTCATACATTCTTTTCAGCATCAAGGATATTTTTGCAGGTCATGTCTTGTTTATCTATCGATCCAGGGCTTTTAGTTGCTCTATAGAATCCTTTTTGTTTACCTTAGGTTTACCTAATATGTGTGGGATAGGGAAGGGCCAACAGTTTCCAGGAAGCTGCCTACTGTTTTCAGCAACTGTACAGTTTCCAGCAGTTTTCCTTGCAAAATACAGTATTACATGTGTGCAGAATGTTAAGTAGTGTGTTTAGTGGTATGTTAATATCCTGACACTTGCTTTTGACACTTATCTCAAGGTTAAACTGCGAGGCATTGGTTGTATGTTTAGGTTGCACATTGAAAAGTTACTAACACAGAGTCCTGCAGTATACCACTGTATTCATCCTGTTGCTTCTGTCGGGAGTGAAATCATCAACAAATGCCAATGTGCCAGTAACATTCGCAGCCACACAGGCCTGAAAGCCAACAGAACCACCATCACGTGTGAAAGATGAGGTGGTGGCTGTTTTTTATCCACTCATATTTCTGTTTTTATTTGCATCTTGTGGTGAATTCTCTGAGGTAATGGTCATGAAGTCTTCTCTTGATCGTTGACAAGGAAACATGTATCCCTACATCCTAGAGAGCATTTTGACCTGCTGTGCAGTCATACAGGGGCTTTTCTTCACTATGCAAACGATTTTCTGCTCAGCCACAAGACTTGTGCTTCTTATAGACTACAAGATTGTTGGATATTTTCTAGTTTTCCTGTGAGTGACATTTGAACCCTGGCAGATTGGGCACTGTGTGTTTAAAGGGCTATATCTCCCACACAGTTCTTTCTATACTAATATATTGCTCAAATTAAAGGTGAAATTTGTGGTATGGTATTATTATATTGGTATTATTGCATTTTAAATTCAATGTGCTGAGACACAACAATAAAAAATGAGTAACTGTCTATATACTTACAGTTTGGACTGACAGATTTTTGGAGTCTCCAAGAAAATAGAAAAGACATCTAGACAAATTCGTAGGTGTTTAAACATGTAAACCCTTAAATCTGAATTGACCCCCGAGTCCTGATGAACAGGAGCACGGCTAGAGGACCGGCTGTATGAGCATCTGGATTGGAGCGTCCCATCTCGGCCTCGTGCCCTCGAGGCTCTGGGAGATCAAATGACCCAGGCTGGGCTAGAGATTGGGTCCACCACACCCTATGGTGAGTGTAAATTATTCTGAATGTTCTTGGTCTCTAAGTATTATTTACACATGCATCCATGAATAGTTTGTAGATGCTGGGTTGAAATTATACAAGGAAAAAGAACAATATTTGCATAAACATGTCATATTAGCATTTTTTCATTTACATAGACATGCTGACATGTTGTCGGTATGTTTTCTTTTTAAACTGCAGTATGTTTTGTGTTTAGGAGCCGCACTGCTAAGGTGTGGAGAAGTTCAGAAGCAGCTCAGCGAGGAAGAAAGAAAGTTAGTCCAAAGCACTAACATCCACTTTCTCACCCCTCTGAGGAGTTTCACTGAGGGGGAATTCAGAGCCATACAGGTAAAACAACACACATACACGCCCGTCATCTGCGTAATGTGACACTGATATACCAAGATGTTTTCAGGTCTTGAATCTCTTTCTCCATTCTTTCCATCATTCATGTTTAGTATGTTGTTTATATACCAAAAAAAAGTGTTTGTGTGTTTATTCATAGGATGAGCGCAGGATGTTAGTGAACAAGCGTTTGGACTTGGACATAGCTAAAACTAGGCTGAGGAAAGCCCACGAGGCCGACCGAGAGGCCAGGGTGAGTTGCAGTGATGGCGTCTTGACCTTCACTGATGAAAACATCACCTTTGAATACATATCAGTTTACTTCAGTACATTAATCAGGCCCGGAATGCAAAAACACAACAAAATATTTTTTTCCCCTAATATACAGCTCATATAATATCTTCTTATTTCACCTTCCTGCTCTTTCCTGTCTTTCTGTCAGAACCTGAATGCAAACCCACTGGATGATGACTACTTGTCTCACGTCTCCTACATGTTCAGCTTCCTGCGTGTTAAATGGCTGAAGGTCAGTGGTTGTGTACAGGGACATGCACATGGACAAGCACATGGACAGACATAGCTGAACTTGCTGTTTGGTCACTGAGTACATTACTTGTCTTGCTCTGTTTCTTTACTCCAAACAGGTATGGGCTCAGGAAATCACTCAGGTAAGTTCATATTTATCTTTGTTTATCTATTCCTCAAGTTGTAAAAGAGGGAGACAGTTTTAACACTGCCAATAATTATAAAATTGTATAGAATTGAGTATGGTCCTGATAGCTGCAATAATAGTTTTCTTCCTATTGTTTAGCTCATTCAGACTTAAACCTTTCAGGGCTAATGGGAATTTTTCGGAAACAAAGCTGGTAATTTGTGGACATAATTGGAAAGACTAAAAGGTGTGTGTGTGTGTGTGTGTGTTCGTGTGTGTGTGTGTGTGTGTGTGTGCGCAGGCAGAGATGGAGCTCAGGATCTGTCAGAGTCTGTTCGATCGACAGACAGAAATTACAAGACGGGCCCTGGAGGGAATCAGCAACACTCACGTATGTGCACACAGAGAAAGACAGGAAATAAGATTCTGTCATATTGCTTAAGTCATTTTTGTAACAAATTCCCCATTCCCAGCAAAAATTCTATAGTGTCTTCTGTTTTGGAAAGTAAATAAATTTTTCTGTGGTTTGTCATTCACTATCTCTCAAATAGGAAGATTGTAATTTGTAAAAATCACATCAATAAAGGATGCACATTATGTTCATTTGTTTTTATTTTGTGATCTGTTATTTTTTTAGTTAGTAGCTTTTACCTCTTTCTTTTAAATATTCAGTATTTTTAATTCAGAGCCAAACTGATGTTGTTACATTTGCCTTGTAGTTTATTTGTCTTGTGTTGTGTTTTTTGTTGTTGTTTTTTTTCCTCTCAGACCAACCACATGCGGAGCCTGACTGACTTTGTGGAGGCTCAGGCATGTTTCTTTGACCAGTGCAACCAACATGCTCAGGAGCTTCAGAAACAGGTGGCCAGGTGTGTATTGTCTGGTTTGCACCACCTAAAGATCTGAATCTGAATTGAGAATTGGTGATTGGTTTTTCTTGTTTTTTTTGGGTTTTTTTATACTTTGATTTTATTAGATCTTTTTTTTGACAAGAACAACAACATTGTTGCCCGGCACAGTATTATCAAAATACAATTTGCAGCTGTCCAATTAATCCCATGTACCTCTAATTATTGCAGCTTTGATGAGGTGTTCCTTTATGTGTTGAGGCAGTTTACAAGGCTGTTTAAGTGCATGAAAAGTTGACATATTGGACCATTGACAAAAAGCACTTCCATGGAGTTTTCATTAAGTTTATGGAGGGTTTTGTTTTCTCAGGACAGAAAGGAAATTATTTAAAACTATTTTCAACAGTTCTCCTTTAAATTCAGAAGCCAAATACCACTCTAAAATGTATATAACACAACACAACATCCATTACTTATATTACTTTTATTTAAAACTATAACCCCAGTTGGCAACAGATTGCTGTTAACATGGAGATATCCAACTACAGAGATGCATTTGTAGACGCAACTCGTGACATCTGGTCTCACAAAGGAAACAAGAGTATTGGGAATTCTTTTTTAAAACTAATTCAATTACTGACATCAATGACTTGCTTATGATTTTGTTTCTCCCTGCAGCATTCCAGCTGTCCTCTGCTCCAATAATTGGCAGTCAGCAATTACTAATCAGCCATCAACAAGCAACCATGTAGCAAATGAGCCCATCGGGTTAAATCAGGTCACTCCAATGCCAGTAGTCGTCCATCAACTTCCAGAGTTCGACCAGGACTCGTGGACTGCAAATCCACCAACCGGAACTAAAAAAATAACAACAGCTTCCTCCGCAACCACACAGCCACTGGACCAGACAAACAACAACAATAACAACAGCATCTGCTCAAGTGACAGCCAAGAAATCAGGTACGGTTCAGCAGCCAATCAAGCATTTGATGCCAATCAAGCAAATTCAGATAGTCACTCAGTAGATCAGGTCTCAGCACCAAACAGGACGGCCAGCACATACGTGGCAACTGACAGAACGACTGCTGAATCCCCAGCTTCAAGCCAGACAGAGACATTCAGTTCCACAGCTGCAGTAATCAATGGTGCAGGTAGTGCAGTGCCAACAGCATCCTCTCAGCCTTCACAGCCTAGTGGGACTGTGAATGAGCCTCAGACAGCGAATGCAGTGGCTTGTGAGACCATGACAACCAGTGCTGTGGCTGATGAGCCCCAAACAACTAATGAGATGGCTAATGAGCAGCCCACCATTAATGGAGATGGCCAGGAGTCATCATCCGCCAGTCAGGATGTGGTTCAGTAGAGACTCATATCTGGTGGGGGATGTGATGGCAGGCCAAATCAAGTCTTGACTTTAATGGAGCTTCAGCTGAATTAGACCAGTGGTAACTGACATTGTATATCTGAGAATACAGATACACAATCATTATAACATGTGGTACAGTAAAAAGAAATGTAATTAATCCCATAGGGAAGATGATGTGAAGTGGTTGTAAAAGTGCTTATTTTTCTAAACGTTATGTAGTGCCACAATCATTTTAGCCTTTAGGAATATTCATATATTATTAATGTTGTATGAAAATGATGAATGTTGAGTATCAGTCCTGTCTTGTGGCAGTAGATGTAAAGTTTCCTGGCCTCAGGCTGCAAGTCAAGGCCTGACTGTTATATTTGCAGCGTGTGAGTGCTGTGTGATGTTGATTTCAGTCAATATCTGTCAAACTAAATCTTTATTTTTACATTTAGCAAAGTGAGAACTAACAAAATGAAAGCTAATCAAGCTTTGTGCCAAGTATACTGTGTGTGTGTGTGTGTGTGTGTGTGTGCGCGCGTGCGTGTCTGTGTGTTTGTGTCCATATATATGCACTCTATCACTTGTATTTACAGCTCAGCCAAACCTGTGACACCTTTAAAAAGAGGTGTGTGTGTGTGTACATGTATGTGACTTTCAATGAGTTGAGGTCATTTTCCATATGAAACGTGTCACTTGTGTGCTGGGGAGCCCAGCGAGGTGACAAAACACCAGGCTTAACGGGATCTTTATGCTGTAGCACAGTTCAAAATATTCTCCCTCATACACGCTCTGGGTGTTTCCCCCCGCACATGCTCAAATCACATACTCACTTTAACCCTTTTACCCCCTTAAAGCCCCCATTAGATGAAATGGGTAGAAGTTTCCATGTCCAGATGTTGTTCATTTTCTTCGCGAGGGCAGCCCTGCTCTACTGTGGCGTGGGTCTGCTCTGGGGACCCTGGATGGAAACACACACATTAATGTAGCATTGGCCCTACTGATGTAATCACCCAGTAACTCTGTGCTCTCTGCTTTTGTCCCAATACGTAAACATGTGTGCGAGTTTGGATAGCTACAGTATTCACAATGTAGTTGCAAGTTTTAAACTGCGCGTACATGCAGCCACGACTCATTCACATGTTGTTCGTTGAGCTGGGGTTTTCACTTCATTCATCTGAAAATGTGGAAATAAATATGCAAACTGTGACGTCATGTCAGTCCAAATCAAGTGTGGATTCTAACTATGTTCTCCAGTTGAGGTGTTTCTGTTATTACCTTGTTAAAATCTACAGCTTGCATTCACTCATATACTCTCTCCTACCAGCCAAAACTCTTGACCTAGATTTACACACACACACACACACACAAAATTATTTCCAGGTTGAGGTCTTGATCGGGCTTTCCAGGCCAAGTCTAATAATATTTTACATCTCTCTAATTAACACCATCCTGACACTGAAGCTTGTGGTTAAGCTTGGCTCACTTCATTATTATTAATTGTGTTAACCACATAACACAATAAAGAGTCTTACCGCAACCCCTTAACACGTTTACACACTGAAAAACTACTCCAAAAACGCAAAGTGTGTGTGTGTTTTCCTCCTGCATTTTGCTCCCACATCCTCACCTCTCTCCTGTCAGAGGCTGAACAAACAGATTATATTGATTAAGCGCAGATTGTCTGTTATTGATCTCAGTTAAGTCAGGAGGCCTGAGGTTCAATAACATCATAAATACTTATGTCACGCCACTATATCACACCGCTCCAAATTTTTTAGAGACGCCTCACAGGAGGCACAGTCAGTGCTTGAAGACAGATTAAATTGTGTTTTGTCCCGGCAACTTTTCCTATGACTCAGCCAAAACGAGAATATTCTGCCCCCAGCTTTTTCACGAGTGCTTTTCCACCTCAACGATACAGCGAGTCCTTGTTACATTTCCAACTTATTTTTATCCTTTCCCGTATGCTCCCTGTCCATCAACAGAGACAGCAGCTCTCTGTCTCTCTGTCTCTCTGTCTCTCTCTCTCTCTCTCTCTCTCTCTCTCTCTCTCTCTCTCTCTCTCTCTCTCTCTCTCTCTCTCTCTCTCTCTCTCTCTCTCTCTCTCTCTCCCTCTCTCTCTCTCTCTCTCTCTCTGTGTGGTCTTCACACGATGCTCCCTGTGTGATGCAGGAAGGGGAAGCTGAAATGATGTTCTGCAGACTGGTTGAGATGAGTGAGTTATGAAACCCGATAAAGGGAGTTGGGATGCTTCTAATTATATTTCAGTTGTTTTTCTCCCCCTGGGGGACACAGCCGGATGATCTTTCCATGGATAAGCACAGTATATTGTTTTATGTTCTTATTACTGCTGAAGTTTTTCAAGGGACACCTGCCCAAGACAGCAGTATTAAAAACAATACCTCAGATAGCTGACACTGCTAAATATTAAAGGCGGACTGTAGTTTGGGTGAGAAGATCCAAAGGTAAACTAAACCATATCAACTGCATAGCAATAAGTATTTGCATTAATAATTAAATTATTTATGTAAATAGAAAATGACGTTAGACCAAGCACAAAGCCTTGAGTTACTTTATTTAGTACAGTAAGGCAGTTTGAACTGTGCCTACTGACCAGCTGTAACACCTATAACGTTATCATAAACTAAGACACTCCTCTTAATATCATTAAACATTATCATCTTTCTATTTTCTTGCAATGACTGTATTGTTTGATTATATCTCCATGGTTTCCTCTCCTATATTGGGTACCATTAAAGGGAAACACCCAAGAATACCACACAGTTCTCATAATACTGGCCTGTGTTGGCTCACTTTGCCGATTTAGTGTTAGTGTTGCGGTTTGTTCATCAGTGAAGTCCTGTTGCTGCTTTAAATCAGTGTAAATTCTGCTGACAACACCCACTGTCCCACTTTCCCTGGCACGTCTGGTTTCGTTGGGAAAAACCCAAACAACAGGATCCGTTCTCCCCTAATACTCTGAATTAAATTAGTGCTAATACACAACCCAACTTCAGTCATCTCTATCTGTCTTTTTCCCTTCCCATCTTCCTTTCTGTGTCTGTTATGTTTTCATCTTCCCTTCATCTCTCATCACTCCCTCCCCCTCAGTGCCAGCTGGGAGTGTTTTGTGTGACAGCTAAACTGTAGGTGTGGTGTGCAGGTGGGGGTGGTAAACAGCGTCTGGCGACTGCTGATAAATGTGGCTCCCCTGTCATGGAGTCACATATTGACTTAAATAGAAAGATGACCTAAAAAGAGAAGAAAAAAAAAAGTGGACATGCCTAAGATGAGGCAAAGATGAGAACACCAACTGTTTCTGACATGCATACACATCGAATTTTACACTCCACCTGCAAGTTTTAACTAAATTTTATTGCCTTCCTGACGGGATCCTAATTACTTCAATTTTATGGAACTGAGACAGGGGAAATTCACACACTCATATCGACAGTGTGGAAAAATGATACAAATACCCTCTGGTCTGTACCCTTTCTCACCATGTATCCACCTCTCTGTCTTCATCTCTACCTAACTCTTCCTCTGCAGGTTCTCTATTTTCCTGATATAAACCTGCCAGCTTCCCCTCCAATCAGTCCCTCTGCTGCTTTTATAACCTGTCAGACAGAGAAAATCAGACATAGTTACTGGCAGACATGCTGACGTCTGCAGTTGGGAACTCGGTCTGGAGGTCTGCAGAGAGTAGAAAGGTCAGGGCTTTTCCTATGACCTTGACATGTCCTACTTCTGCTGCTTAACCCCAACACCTGTTGGCCAGAGCGCTCTGTCTTCAAGAAAAAGGTGATTTGGCCACACTAGGAGTTCAATAACATCTCCACTGAATGTCTAATCAACAGTGTAACCAGGCAACCAAATACAATCAAAACTAGAAAGCAAATTTCACTGGGTTGCTTAGCAACTAAATTTAATTCCAACTGATATTCAATATAATCCAGAGTCTGCAATGTTGCAACTTTTTTTTTTTTTTTTTTTTTTTTTTTTTAAGGTTAAGGGATTTGGCGTTGAGACACGGAGCAGCGAGTGACTCTGACTCATCAGTGAAAAGGTTAAAAGGCAGACAGACCTGAGAGAGTGTGGATTGAAACGTCCTGTGGAAACAATGTGTATATGGATGTGAATGACTGAAATTTAAGACTGAAGCTCAACACAGTGGTCTGCTTCTAGAAACAACAAAAAGTACTTATTTGGCAGGATCATTAGATTTGGGTCATTGATAACTACAAAGCAATTTTAAAGAAGATAGAATCAATATAGGTACATATTATGGGTGTGTTTCTATACAAGTATGTGTATATATTTCCAATGTAGTAGATTTGTTTTTCCTTCAGTCTTGCTACTGCAGAATTACTGCGATTTTTTCTACCTTGTTTTGTCTCTGTTTTCTGCATATTCTTAGACTGTTTCATTTCTTTTTCTTATTAAAACTGTGTGTGTGTGTGTGTGTGTGTGTGTGTGTGTGTGTGTGTGTGTGTGTGTGTGTGTGTGTGTGCATTTTAAAGCTCACATAATTTTTTTATTTGTCTGGTTGAGATTTTATTTAGTGTCATTTGTGACATAAATTCAAAGAGGAAGTTCCCTTTACATACATTTAAACCTTTTTTGTTCTGCTTGGTGTTTCTCTCATTCCTCTCCTCCCTCTATCCCTTTTTTTGCCCCTGTTTTCCCAGTGCCCCTGTAATTCCCCCTCTTTCGACATAATGCCCCTATTTCCCACTCAGTTTGACTTTTGACACATTACCTCCACCAAAGCATGACTCACCCAACCTACACAGCACCCCCCATCTCTGTCCCACCCTCCCTAACCTCCTCCCTCCTTCTTCCCCCTTGTTCAGTTTATAAGTCAGCACCCACAACAGTTGGCTCAGTGTGAAGCGTTATACATTTCAGCAAAGGGGTGAATAAGAGAGGAAAGCAAGGTGACAAACACGTCTGTTGTTAACAGTTTCTTTCGTGGTATTCAATGCTCCATCATGCATGTGTTCAGAATCCAGCATGTGCTGTGTGTGCTTGGTTTCGTGGTTGCATCCTTGTGTGTGAACGAGTATGAGGGGAACTATACAGACAACTATGACAATGAGATCTCTCAGGACCAGCAGGAGGGTGAGTTTTGTTTATTTGTCCTTTTGTTGCTTTTGTTTCCAACTTGTTTGAACAGATGGCTCATTGTGAAAAAGAGTGTCCTCAATTGCCATGCCTGATTTAATCATGCCAAATATATTTTTTGTTATGTTTTAAAGATTCATTCAACACAAATTGGATTATTAGTTTTTGAAGGTAATATAGGTGTCCCACAGGGCTTTATTCATGGTCCACTTCCATTATCTTACATACCATATCTGCCAAACCACTTTGTAATGTATACTTCTGTGCAGATGATACCATCTACAGCCACTGTAATTGTACATTACTTATCTATTTTTCGTCTGAGAAAAATGCCCATCTCTGCTCCCAGTTATTATAATGTTAAATATAATTTTAACTCTAGCTGTAACACATGTTCAAACAGAGCTAGGGAAATACAGCTATCATACAGCTTGCAATTTACATTGTATTTTTGTTGAATTAATCAAATATGAATAAAATACTTACTACTTTTACTTAAATGTAGGTAGACACTGTGGAAGGAAACTATGGTGAACAAGGGTGTAACAATTGAGCATTTTAGAGGATTGAAACTACAAGTGAGTGAAACTACAACATACACTGTGATCTGGACATAAAAGCTTGTCAGGGTTCTCCTTTGTACCAACTGTATCACTTGCAGCTTTTGTCAGATGGACATTGTGTGTATTGTACTTTACCCATAAGGAACTATAGGGAATGGTATCCATGCTGTAGTCAGTCCAAAGGGCTACTATTCAACATGTTAAGTCCATTTAAAATATCTTTACTCCATAAATGACGAACAAGTCCCTGATTATTCAGAGATTTCTTCCCCTTTTCTTTGAGTTTCCTACCCCAAAACTACTTTTGCTGCACCCCAGTATTGGAGAGTACCCCTGTCATCATTTTGGAAACGTAATGTTCTTCAATAACACTTCCATCTGAGTTTTGACAGATTTCTCCAAGGCCCCTTTTATTACCTTACTTGGCAGTATATCATGAAATACATGAAACCATCCTTTCTTTTATAGGTTTAGAAGAATATGAGTGTTAACACCATGTGTCCCAAACTTTAACTTGCATTTCCCAGTACTGTATCCTTAGGGAGGTGACCCAAAAATATTAATCTATTTCTCATTTACTCTAAAATGCCCAACAATGCCCGACAATGGCGAACAAGGGAGAAACACCTTGTTCGCCATTGTCTTGTTTTCTTCTACTACATTTAAGTACCAATAGGAACTGGTAAGTATTTTATTGGTACCTGATTCATACTCTGAAGTTACACTGTTACTAGATTAAATAAATAAATTCATATTTTGGTTATATTTGGTATATGTACATTTCAATAACCTTTTAGTTTCATAAGTGATGCATGCCTGTGGTTTCTGTCCACAGGGGAGTCTCCAACCACACCATGCCAGGCTGCTGATTTCTCCCGCTGGGACAAGCTTTTCATCGCTCTGGAGGACTCCCACATGAAGCAGAACATGCTGCTGGAGTCTCTGCAGCAGTGTTGTGGAGGAATGGTCTCTCTCAGGACCCAGGTAGAGAAGCTGGTCAGGGGGCCATGCCAGCAGTGTGTACCCAGCATGGAGTCAGTGTGCAGGGCACAGGCAGAGCAGGCAAGTCTCAGGCTGCAGCGAGGTTTGGTGGAGCTCAGAGAGGAGGAAGCAAAGAGGGAGAGGAGGTTAAACGCTACCTTGCAGATGCTCCTGCACAGTACTCATGAGGAGAATGTCCGGCTGAACCGGCTAGAGGAAAGTAGCAGCCACAGAGTGGTGCCATCGGGACCAGCGGACGGCAGGATGCGACACCAACCAACGCCAAGACCTGGCGGTGTAGGGGCAGCTTTTACTTTGGGGATGAAGCCGTTCCCATCAGTCCTGAAGGAGCAGGAAGTGACTTCACCGCTGGACATGGCCACAATGGAAAGGGCCCTGGTTGCCATAGCAACAGAGCTGCAGAGGGTTCACCTGCAGCTGAGCAGAGTGATAGAGCAGGCAGGAGCATTGAGGACGGACAACAGAGGAAACACATGAATTGCCCAGAGGGACAGAATATTAAAAGATTGGCTGACATCACTCCAGTGATAATGATTTTGCACATATACTTATTTTTAAAGGGATTTTCTTTTTCCTTTTTAATGTGAGCTTGTTTATGTCTTGTAACAATGGATTTAAATGTACCATAAATGTTTTGGGTTCATTATAATGAATAAAAAATTAATTAAACAACCTAATCAGCATCGTGGAAAGGTTTCCTCCCTCCTCCCACACAGTAATCAACTCATTTTCAGAGCTGCAGACTTACTAATGTATGCCTACACTTTTCATTTGTCAGTGCATGCGCTTCACTGCCTCAACGCTTGTGTGTAGTTGTGGTGATGTCTGCAATTACCTACAACCACAAGAGAGTGTGTCAGGGGTTTTTGGATTGTGTTTAATTCTGGGCAGGTCTCTCCTTCTCATTAGCTGCTTTAAGAGTCTGTATATGCTAAGAGACCATGACTTACAATGCTCTGGGTGTTTATGATTTACGAAACCCTGCCAGAGCTATTACACTGCTGGCCATCCCTCCTGCAGCCGTACACACACACACACACACACACACACACACACACACTCATTGTTACAAACCACAAAGAGTCTCATGTTGACGAGGTACTTTCTGTTTATTCTAAAGTTTCTGTGTGATGGCGCTTGATCCCAGATCACTGCTTCATTCATTTATAAAGTATTTATACTTTTGTTTTGTGGTAATAGAAAGAGGTCTAATGAGAGAACAGGAAGATGAGGACAGGACGAAATCAGTGATGGAAGAAATATTCAGATTCTTTACTTTAATAGCTATACCTCAATATAAAAACTCTACATAACATTATCAGTAAAAGAAATGTACCCAAGGTATCAAAAATAAAATTCCCAATATGCAACACCAACATCCCTGTCAATAACATACTATATATTATATTATTTGCAGAATTTTAAGGTTGTAGCTGATCAAGGGGGAGCTAACATCTGATGATTAATATATTTTTAAGTAGTTTATGACAAAACATCACACAACTATAAATTGGTCATAGCTTGTTTACTGCAAAATCTGCAGAGTAATTAGTAATTACAGCTGTTAAATAAACCTTGAGCTTGTACCTCAGTGGTGTGCATTCCACCACCGCGCAAAATATAGCAACAAAGAACATTTGAAACGTATGTGAGTTTAATTAGGCCAGCGCACTGACATCACACAAGTGCTTTGACTAATGAAAGACTTACAACCATGGCATGAATGTATACGTATGCTCACGGCTATGTATATGTGTGTATGTATGTGTGTGTGTGTGCATGCACCTTTCCTTATAAATCTGCAGCTGGGTGGAGAACTGCTGCCAAGATCTGAAGTTTTTTTTTTTTTTTTCCCCGGCCTTCTTTCTTTAAATGTCACAACCAACACGATGCAGAGGGGTGTCGTGGAGTAACAAGGATAGTAGTATATACAGACTCCTCACTACACCTGTTTCACCATGATATCCACACTGGTACGCTCAATGCGGGGGCACTTGTTTTCATTAAAAAGGCTCCATCTGTGCAATGTGTGTGGGGATTTCAGTGAATGGAAGCTTTGTCATGTTTTCAATCATTTTTAATGGAGAGAAAAGGTGACAAAGAGGGAGAAAAGGGAAAGATGGAGGCTAATGAGGAGGAAAATAGAGGAGGATAGACCCAGGAAGGAGAGTGCCAGTGGTTACGTGCCTGACAGACCATTATTAGACATAATGACTGACTGCTCCCCACACATAGCACAGTGTTTTTATCAGCCAGCTGTCCTGACACAGCACAATAAGCAGCTGCCATCAGATCAGCCTCGCCTTCTGCCCTGGCTTCCGTTCGTTCCGCTCCTTCCCTTTCATCTCGGTTTCGTCATCTGCCATCACTCTCCTTCCTCCCCTGCTTCTTATCTGTATGCCAATCCCATCATCTTCTCTCTCTCTAGCCCCATTTATCTTCTTCTGATTGTGTGTCTCGCTGCTCTCCCTTGCCTCACATCTCTTGTTTTTCCTCTGCAGCCAGCAGCCAAATAGATGGCATCAATCCTTGGCCGACCCTCAGCTGGCTGGTAAGAGTGACTGACATTATACTCCTGTAAAATGTCGCCAATATCCACACACACACACACACACACACACACTTAATAAGGCGAGATCTTGATTACAAGTGGCTTCAGGAATGCATTGTGGTCATCAGAGAGATTTTAATGTCACATCACATAGTCACCATAACAGACAACACAATATTGGCACTTTCCCAAAAGCAAAGAGGACAATACAAAATAGATAACGCTCCAATAAACATTCAGCAGTCTCTTATGTACACTGGAACCAATCTCATGGAGGAGGGAGTGAGCGGGAGAGAAAGTGGAGGTGAGAAGAGGTGTCTATTTGATGGGTGAGTCCAGAATCTCTTCATACTCTTCCCTTTGGCGCCGCCCGCCCCCTCGAGAGGGGAGCAGCTTCATCGCCACCAGCCAACCGACGCTCAGTATGACCATCACGCTCCCGACGACATCAGGCGCAGTGGGAACCAGCGGCAGCACGATCAGATGCAGGAGCATGGCGATAGGTATCTCCAGGCTCTGAGAGGCGGACACCAGAGCCGGGTGGAGGCGTGTGAGGGCGTGCGTCATCCCCAGGAAGGCTGCTACCGAGCAGGTGACCAGGCCCAGGACCAAGCCCCAAGCTGTGGCGCTCGTAGGCCAGGACCAGCCCTCCTGGAGCAGAGCCAAGGAGGCTGGGGCGAGCAGGCAGCCCGTCCAGCTTACTGTGAACAAAGCTGTTCCAACTCCCACCCTCTCCTTCAGCGAACGATACCCGACCAGCGCCAGGGCCATCCACAGTCCCGCAAGCGCCGAGAGAGACCAGCCGAAAGCACCCCTCCAGAACACAACCGGGTCTGTTGGTCGGTCTGAGTTGCTCTCATCCACTGTGGGAAGTAACAGAAGCCCCAAACCACACAGCCCTGCACCTATGGTGATCCCGTCAGCCAATCCCAGCCTCTCCTCCAGGAGCAGGAAGGCCAAGGTCGCTGACAGCGCTGTAGTCGCCAGGCGCCAGGTCGTCGTGGCGTTTCCGGGAGAGACGAAGGTTAGGGATGAGTAGGCGCAGCAGAGGGAAAGTGAGTAGGCGATGCCATAGCAGAGCAGACGTAGACGATGGCCCTCTGGTCCGAAAGGGTTCTCCCCCCTGTGCAGTGGTACAGCCACAGAGAGGAGCTGGACGACGGATCGAACTAAGAGTAGAAAGAGGGGGCCGAGGCTGAAGCGTTCAGAAGCCAGGCGGGTCAGGACGATCAGACAGCCGTGAGCCAGCGCGGCACCCAGCAGCCCCACCCAGGTGAGCCGAGACGCAGACACAGACGCCTCCCCAAAACTGGCCAGCTGTTCCCCTACCCCTTTCCCAGAACCCTTTGCTGTCTTGGCTGCCCCCTCGCCTCCATCTCCTCCCACGGCAGCCTGAGCTTTCGGGGCTGTATCCTTGTCTTTGTCTCTGGAACCAAACAGAGTCAGAGGCCACCTCCTGGTCTCCGTCAGCTGTTTCCTGTCTGACGTCTCCACGAGGAAGGAGCCAAAGTCCTCAAAAGACGGGGCGTCGTCGTAGCCGTCGTCCCCGGGCTGAGGGAAGTGCGTGTGCACTCCAGGTTGAGGGGAGTATGGGGCGTGCGTGGCGTATTTGGCTGTGACGGTGTGAGGGTGGATCTTGACTCTCTTCTTTGAGCTGCCCAGGAGGTGAGTGGACTCCATTTTGAAACTTCAGAGAAGACAGACACCTGCGAGGAAACCAAAATGCACTTTTAGAGCCACATTCAATTTATATTTTACACCAACACACACACACACACATACACACACACACACACACAAATCCTCCCTCCCCGTGTGTGATATCTCATATATCTTTAATTTCCAAGATAATTATAGCAGTGACACATCTTCCCATGTGCCCCACGTGTTTGGCAGCGAATGTACGTAAGCTGTGCCCTTCTGAGCAACCGCCAGTTCAAGAGTTTGTTTTCTTTCTGTGTGATGAGAGTTGACATTAAGTCCATATCAGCAGGACCATAAAGAACCGTAATAGCATATTAGCAATGCAAATTATCCCGCCTTTTAGTCTTCCAATATAACATGACCTTGATTTTATGTAAAAGATTTTATCTTTTACATAAAAAACAGGTACAATATATGAATCCCATGTCCCATCTATGTACGAATCCTATGTCCCCAACATACCCATCTCAACCCCCCCCACCCCACCCCCACCCCTCCCCTCTTTCATCCTCATCTCTTTAACTCTTCTCCTCAAGGTGCTGCTCCACAGATGACTAACTTATAACTGACGTAGTAAAAGCTCTCTGCAGCAGAACAATACGGCCATGCAGGTTGCTACAGCGGCGCACTGCTGCATTTCTGGCTGTACAACACTCAGCAGTGCACTGGTTACCGTGGGAATGGGGGGGGTACTTTCACATGACATAATGTTTATCCACTCAAAAGCATGGGGTTCAATAAACAATGTTTAAACAGGATTAAATAAATAAAATTGACCCATAAATAAAGTGACTTTTTGCTGAGATGTATTCATCTATGAATGAAGAATTTCCCAAGTTTATTATTGCTATAGCTCTTCAATCAGTCTCAGCCAGCCCATTTTAAAAAAGGGATTTGTGAGATAGATTATATACAATATAAAATATACAAATAGACTAAATAAAGTACGAAAGCAGGGACCTACAGCGATACTATGTCCCAATGATGCTTACATGCAGATTTTGAAATGAAATGAAATTTGAAATGCAAATAGCATAAATTGCAGCTCCATGCGATTTTTTGCACCTCCTGCAATTTGGATATTGCACTTGACCATATAGCGATTATATTTCAATTCCTACAAGATTTTCACATGTTCCAGCACATGTGCATATATGGAGTTTGTTTTGATTAGTGAAACCTATCAAAATGAGCGAGAGGAAAATGATCTCATACGTGAAACTGGCTGCTGAGTAGAAATGTACTAAAAATACAAAAAAATTAAGAATTAAAAAATAACATCACAGACACAAGTATGGGGTGATATGGATAAAATCTTCAATCATGG